CCTGACCTTGAGCGGCCGCGGGCTGAGGCCGCCGCGCTGCGCATGCGCTGTGGGAGGGGCGCGGAACGGGCAGTGACGTAGCGCCGCGGTGTGGCCTTGAAGGGGGAATGGCCGCCATTTTGGTGCTGAGGGGCGGGCGGGGCGGTGTGGCAGGGAACCCTCAGGCTTGTGGGGGCGGCCCAGGCGTGAGGGGAGCCAAGGGCTTCTCGGGTGGGCCCGGGCTAGGGCGGCCATAGGGGGGGCGAAGGAGCCTGGTGTCCTGGAGGGGCTGTCAGGCCGGGGCACAGGGTGCGGTGCAGTGCGGTGGCTGTGGCTGTGGCAGCGGCAGCTGGCGGTGATGTGTGCTGGCTTCCACGGGCTGTCGGAGGGCAATGCTGGCTGGGGCCTGTGACCACACAGATCTCCAGAAGGAAGCGCTCCGATCTGTGGCATCATGTACAGAGAAAGTTGGGAGGGATGTCTCCTGCTGTGGGTGTTCGTGAGTGAGTTTCAGATGGGTTATGTTCAGTGCAGGTGGTCTGGAAGACAGCCCTGGTACCCTGTGTAGAATTTCCTGGCAGTGGAGTCACTGCACAGCTGTATTTAAGTTTAGTTTATGCACCAGCAGAGAAGAGCTATTAGATTTGTTAATGTGACTTTTTCACATTAGGGACCAATCCCATCCCTGGGATATTAAAACTCTTTCAGTCATGACAGTAAAAAGATCTTAATGAAATGCAGTTTTGTAACCACTGATATGTTTTAATGTGTGGATTCCTGGGGTGATTCTGCTGAAATAACATCACTTGAATAAACAAGATCTCCAGAAAAAAAGTAATCATCGTAATTAATTTGCAGATGTTTAGATCCTCATTTATTATAATTGTTTTCTAGAGCCTGGTGGTTGGCTGTTTGACCTTTAGAAGACAACATGGGTGGAAAGTACATTTTCAAACGCTTAAAACCCCACAGTGAAATAAGACTAGTGGATATAGAGACTGAAACAGTGGGAAAGCAGAGAAGCAGGGCTCTCAGGAAGGGACAGTGGTAAGGTCTGGTCTGTGAGCAAATGATGATGAAGGAACTGTATGCTCTTCCTAATGAGGTATATTCATTCATGGAAGGAGGTTTGGCTGTCCTATGAAGCAGGCATCTATGAAAGATGAAGAGGAGCTAAAGGAAAGGGCAAGAGTTCTGTCCTGGTTTGGGATTATATTATTGCATGGTGCTGCTTTTGCCAGGGGTAGTACAGGCTCACATTTCACCTTGATCACACGAAACTCACTGCTTTTCTGTTGGCAAGACCAGAGCATGTGGTGTGGCTGTTACAGCGTGGTTATTGTGTTTGCTGCTGGGAAGTGTGATTTCTTTCCCCTTTTTCATTTGGAGCAGGGCTTGTGTCCAAATTTACTGTGTAGCATATAGGAATGCTGAGATAGCCAGGATCTTGGAAAGCTGTTGTGAAACATACCTTGGCATAAAGATATTTCTCAGTTGTTTGTTTACTGTATCTTTGCAGTGTAAACTGTTAATAAGTACTTTGGTTTGTTATTCTGTTTATTTTTTTTTAAATCACAATTACCTCTTCCAGTAATTTGTTTTCATATTATTTAATAAATCAAGAACAGTCTTGCTTCCATACTGAAAGGAGAAGTTATTCCCTGGTGGCATTGTGTGTACCTACAGAAGTGTTCCATCTTCACTGATGGGATGCATTTTTGTACAGTGCAGACCTGAAACCACTGCAGCTCACCATGTGCACACACACCTGCTTTGCTGGATGAGCTTGGGAACATTTATGTCATGAAGTTCTTGTCCACATTGGAGGTAGATTTTGCCTTTTTCCACCTGCATCCTTTGGATTCAGGCTTAGGAGATGTGTAATATTTGAGTTTTCAAAAGGAATTTACATGTGACTTTTCTTGGTAGCAGAAGATAGAAGAATTATTTTGTATAATATTTAAGTGATGAAACCATGATTAAATTCTGTATTCTAAAGCAAATTGTGTTTTTGTAGCAGGAACAACATAAAACTACTCTTGTTTGTAGCAAAAAGCACGAAGTAGGCAACAGACACTAATGTTTACAAATGAGAGAAAACAAGAAAGGATCTGCAAAACAAGAAGCAAACATGTTCAGGATGAAGAAAGGTAATCTCTAAAATAAAAAAGTATTTGTGAACTGTGCTGCTGCGATAGCCTCAAAGGACAACATGCAAGTGTTCAGCAGGAGGTGAAATCAGCCAAGGTGTGCTTCTCCCTAGTTCTCCCTGACGCCTTTGCTCCTCTGACAGTCTTGAAAATATGCTTCAGAGAAGAAAATGCTCACAGACAGCAGCACATAGTAGTGGTGACTCTTAGCACAGCTGCCCCAGGTTAAAGGCAGTTCCTCATGAACTTCTTCCATTCATTGAGCCCCAGGGGGCTCATGGAGAGAAACTGAACTTGGGGTTCAGGTCTGTCATGGACCTGAGTATAATGGCAGTTTCATTAACAGTCTGAGTTACACTGATTTAAAATGGAACTTTCTTAGGCTTTATCTTCCCAACAGTTGCAATTAATCTCTGTATTTAGCGTAATGAGTCTGATTCATGTCTGCAAGTCTGGTGTAAACTCAGAGCAACTGCTAGAAGACAGAAGATTGCATGTGAAAAAAATATTCCAGCTGAGGGAAGACAGGCAGGTATTTGAAGAAACCTAGATATTTTAAAAGGAGCATTGTGAAGAACATTTTGATGTATGAAATATATTTAACTGTGCAATGTGTAATGGTTATTATGACTGTGATGATTGCAGTCATCCTGGCAGCATGTGATTTTACAAAGGTGTGGGGAAAGTAGCAGTGAATGAACTGTCAGCTCTGCCACTGGCTCAGTAGCTCTGTCTGGGTTATTGACCTGTGCCATGGGAACCCCTTCCTGTGCCCATTGCTATGCACTACTGCCTTACAGAAAGGACTTCATGTGAGGTTTTTACAAAGCTGACCTATTTGAGGGCCTATAGCTTGATTTAGAGACTTGTTTATCACCGTAAAAAATCAGGTCATAAAGGCAATGTTTTGAGGATGTTTCAACACATTTTTTTCCGAAAGATCCAGCACCCTGGGGGCCTTCTGAGTGCAGAAATGCTACAAAATTAGCTCTGAAAAAGAAGAAAGAAAAAAAGTCTTGGTAGCCAGTCACTTTGAGAAAGCTGTTTTCAGTGTTGTGGTGGGACAGGTGGAGGTCAGGCCAGAACTCTGTAATCTGGCTTGGCTGCACAGTAAACATCTCCCGTTGGGTTTGCAGCAGTGACGTGCAGCACCTGATCAGAAAACTTTGGATCATGTCACTGTTCAGTTTACCAAAATTTGAAAAACTACAGTAAACTGGTGTTCAATAGAGGTGGAGTTGACTTGTTAAGCTGAAAAAGAATGTTTGTAGCACAAAACTAAGCTTGGGTTTATATGTACTAAGCACTTGTGGAGGCAGGAAGTTTTAGCCTTCAGATAACAGCCCTAAAAGTGAGTGACTTTTGAGACCAGGAGATTCCATTGTAATTCAGAATCAAAGGCTGCTTTCCAAAGCATCGTCTTTCACCTTTCTTTTTCTTATTTTTTCCTAGCTGCAGTGGTGGCTAGTGGAGAGAAGAGGACACAGATAACAGCATGAGTCACTGATGAGATGCAATTTATAAAAGCCTTCGATACTGTCAGCTGGGGCCAAGGGCTCTCGAAGCAATGCCGGACTGGCCCGCCTGGTGGCAAACTGCTTTCACTGGAAGTGCCTCTCCGTTTAGGAGGTTTGGGAACAACAAACGTGCTCACTGGGATTTCAGACTGTAATCTCATCACTGTGCATTTTTAAGTTTTCAGGGACGTGCTTATCCCTCTCAAATAGCAATGTTTCCTCTCTCAGATACTGTCGCGGAGTCCGTGCTGCGGAGATAGCGTCTGTGTCTCAAACTTCACAGAGTTTCTGGGGGGTTCTTCATCTTCTCCCTGTAGTCCTGGAACTGCAGAAATCAATATTCTGCCATCTGTAAATCCTTTGTTCCCCTTTTCACCAGGGCTTTATCAGCTTTGTAAGTGAAGGAGGGAGGGGGGAAGAGGGCGTTGAGAGAGCCATTGTCCCTTCTCTCGGGAATGATCTGGAAGTACTATGCAAATCTTCATTTGAAGACCCTGGGAACTGGGGGAGGGCTTTAGCTGCGAGCTCAGTAGGAGGGGAGCTCTGCATCCCTGCTCACGCACTCCTGCCTAGTGCAAGGGGCTGGGAAGAGTTTTTTGAACTGGCAGAAGAAACATTTTGTGCTTTGTGCACTTCTGTGAGGCTTTGCGCTCCTTATGTCTCCTGCTTTGTGCCTTTCTCTGCCTGCTTCTTCTAAATGTTTGCATAAGAATTGGGTAGGGGAGAGATCTAAGAGCTGCGATTAGCAGTGATGAAGTCAGGACGGTGCAGAGTGCAGCACCCCTCCTGCCTGGCACCCAGCGGTGGAGCAGCTCCAGTGGTGCTCACACACTATCGCCTGGCTGCTGGCATTAGCATAGAGCACAGATGCAGTTTCAGTAGGCAAATAGCTCAGCTGGTCAGGAGTAGTGGAGTAAAATAGTTTGCAGTTCTCAAATTATCACGTTGTAGCCAGGTCTTAAAAAGCCTCCTCTTATGGGGCAAAAACTCACAGACCAGTACCTGCTTTATGAAAGCCTGCAGTCTGTCCTGGCTTGGCTCAGCTCTGTCACCTGTTTTATATTAGGGCAGGGTCACACTAACTGCCAGTTTCCTGGAAGCTGTGTAGGGTCCTTCTTAGGCCTCATGGAAGGGGAAGTACCCTGACTGCATAGACACACGGGTGAACAGGGCAGCGGGGGAGAGAAAGTACAGATTCATATCTAGGCATTGTTGTGTTTGTAAGCTACTGTGAAGGCAGTCATAACCTTTCTGATCTTCTGACTTTCATTTTCATGGCATCAGTTCCATTGTTTATTTTTAAAACTTTGAGGGGTTTTGTGTTCCAGCAAGCTAAAAATTACTTTTGAACAATGGCAGCTCTGGAAAATACACTTCTCTCTCCTGGGCAGCTGAGAAGATGCAGTCTGTCAGAAATCTCACCTTCGGTCAAAGCCATAGGAACACATGCCATGAGACCTGATTCTCTGTTACCTCCCATGTTATATCCAAAGCAACATAAAACCGTAGTGTTTTGTTCTGCAGGTACTTTACTGCTTTGTAGAGGGAAATTGCATCACAATATCACATCTCATATTCACAATTGCATCTAAATCTCTCTTTTTTTTTTTCATTTGTAACTCTAGAGTGACTCAGCTGACTTGGGTGAATGTCCCCTGAAACTGCTAGCTGGAAACCAGCCTGGACATGTCCTGTCACTCCTGTAAGTGCTCCCACTACCTGTGCACAGTCCATGTAGATGTTTTTCTGACTACACTTGTTTGCATGCGGGCTGGTGTATGAATGCACATTCTTCTCACCCACTCTTCACATATGCATGCAAACACACACGCATTCTCAAGTGCACACATCCATTCCCTTTCTCTCATATACATTTGTGCACATACACAGACCTTTTTGAAAGCTCCTGTTTTCAGAAAGGTTTTATTTATAGGTCCTGCCTGGTTGTGAATGTGAAAGGGAGAAAGCCCCTCAGAGGGTTCCTTTCATGTGTAAATCAGCCTAGGCTGAGAGCATTGGGGTCACTGAGAGGAGGATTTCACTCTTAATTACTCAGAGAGAAAGCAGGCAGGGGACTTTCTCAAACTAACAGGGTTGTTCTCTGCAGTGGAAAGCAGCTTGAGATGCCCAAGTTTCTCTTGCATCAGACTTCGGGCTCTGATTCACAGGCCTCTTCTGCCAGTAGTAAGAGCTGGTGTCTATGTGGCACTTGGAACAAACAGTTCAGCTTCCAAACTGGCTTACTTATCAAAGATGGTTATGTTCATTCTGATAATTGGGTGTTCTTTGGAGACCAGTGGAAGAACTGACCTAGTTCGCTTTATTTTTATGCCACTTCTAATGACAAAAAAATGTTAATCTGTGCTGTGTATATGTGTGACTCCATCTGAGGACCTCAGTATTCTTTGAGACCTGAAAGTTCCCATCTCTCTGCCAAGTAGAAAAATGTTATTGTCTAGAGATTAATCCAGTGAGCAGAACTCTGAACTAGGATTTAAAACTAGCACTGAATTCCCAGTCCGGCCACCTTTGAGACCTTAGCTGTGAAACAGTGTAACCTTCTCTCTGGAATGGGGCTGTTAAGAACAAAAGTCAATATGGATTGTGATACTGCTGGTAATGAGGCTGTGAATGCCAGGGTATATGTGGGTGATGAGCATGTCTGAAGGGATGTGTCTTTTTTCTGGAATGCAATGCAAGCTCATGGATTCCACTGCTGGGAGCACCGTCCTCTTTCCTGTCTGGACATTACTGCAGAGACGAGCACCCTGCGCACAAGCCACTCTGTTCCCTACAGGAACCACAGGACCTGCTTGTACAACCACACACTAAAACAGTGCAGCTGCAAAGTGCAGCTGTCAGTAGTTGCAGGGAAGAGATCTGTGCTGTCAAGTGCACGTGCACACACAAGCAAGTCTCTTTTTTAACTTCAGTTGACTCAGTTAAATTTACATCCTCTCATCTGTACCTCCTTTTCATATGGCCTCTGCTTTTCTAGATAGGAAATAAATGCTTTTAGGGCTGAACATTCCCAAGCTGCACACAAAGAGTCCCCCAGGAGTCCCGGTACAGGATTCTTGAAGTTACTTTATCTCAGCTTGCCTGGGAAGGCAGAGGTTTTAGTCCTGGAGCACCTGTTTGAGGAACCTTGCAGTAGTGGTGGGGGCCATTGGCAGATGAGGTCAGCAGTCTGAAGTGTCTGCAGAGGTCAGAGAGAAATGAATGGGTCATTTCTTTTGCAAATGAAGAGCTGCAGCCTGGAGCAGCCTTAGCAGAGCCCAGCATGTGGGTCCAGGCTGTTCCTTTTATGAGCTGATGGAAATGGGGCCCAAAAGGACTTCCCTGATGGAGTTCTGTCACAGCCTTTGTTATCTTTGCCTCCTGCAGCATGCACTGGGTATAGAATATGGATTGGGGGTTATCCTGGCTACCAGCACAGTCAAGAGGATGAAGGCTTTATGGCTGCATAGAAAACGTAAGGCTGCAGGGTATCCTTATTGCCATTCCACGAGGAAAATCTTGTTTTAAGATGTAGAACACATGTTTGTTTCTGCTTTAGTGCTCCTTTTTACCCAGCCTACACTGAAATGAGTAAATCCAAGGACTGCTTTAAAATAATGCACATAACTGAGTAACAGGGATTAAGAAGCCTGGATTCTATTCTTCATTCTGGTAGTAAATTGTCAGTTGGCAAAACCCTATGAATGCCTTATACCTCACTTTTTCTGTAAAACACCGAAGAAGGTAGTGTATTCCTTTTTCTAAAATATTTTGAGGATTTGGGGTACAGAGTACTTTAAATAAGCAAAATGTACCTGTTAGTAGCACTGTCAATGAAATATCTTTTTGTCTACTTTTTATGTAACAATGTTACTTTCTCTGAATTGTTTATTGAGAATAAATTTTATATTAAAAAGTCAGTTCTGTCTTGCTATTTGCTCTTTTGCTTCTTTGCAGACCACCAGGGAACTTCTTTTGCTGTGACATTGTAATGGGAGGTGGAGACACCTCGAGGAGAAGGTCGAAACAGACAACAGCAATTACAGTCAATAATATCTATGACTTGAGAAAATGTTGCCTCAATTACAGGTTTGTGTGTGAACCGTGCATGCCATCTTCCTTATGGACACATTTAAAATAACGCAGGACATGGAAATAACTGTTTCCCTTGTAGGAGTTCTACAAACAGCTTCCTATTATTTTTGTCTTTTCACAGCCTCAGATGAAGTAGGGCGGGGTGGGGGTTTTAAGGGGAAGGCAGCTAAGCTTGAAGTAACTGTGCTCAGGGTTTTTCCTCATGGCTGTTACGTTACAGCTATGACAAATAGCTAGAAGTTGGAACAGTCCTGGGACTGCCAGAACTTGCTCTAAAGAGGAAAATGAACTTAGGTTTAGACTTTTTCAACCTCTGCTATGTGTGAAGGATTGTTTTTATGGCTTTTATGTCCATTTTCCTTTAGAAAGCTCAGGAGGACTGTCCACCCTTCAAAACTGTTTTGATGTGTTTTAAATGCATGATATGGAGCACAGCCACTCTCAGTAGGCTGCAGAAAAAGGACGTAAAATTGTAACATGTCTTTGGAGGGGTAAGCGTGCTCTTTATTTCCTAGAAGCATCAGCCAGGTTTATACCACTTTGTGTAAGAAGAGCTGCAAGAGAAGATGAATGTTTCTGAGGGCTTGGGGACAGTTTCATGTTTGGGGTAAGGCTGAGGTTAGCCATGGAGCCTGTGTCCAGACAGTAATTTGACAGCAGACATGGGCACACAGTAATGCAGTCTCTGAAAATCACAGAAGCCTGCTGAGTTATTGTGAGCTGGAGGAGCTTTTCTGTTTGTGGGCACATGGGTCTGCCTGCCTCACATTGTGCAGACATAACTGAGACATAAAGGAGGCTGGCAAATTGCAGAACACTGGTCGAAGGGGGGGCAGGGGGCTGGGGAAGAGAAGTTAAGAGTTTGTAGACAAAGGGCTCAAGCTTAGTTGTGAATTCCTAGCAGGTAATTGGTCTTTAAATGAGAGCATTTGTCAAGTAATGTACTGATTTAATGTGGGAATTGGATAGATATCTACAAAGGTTTTTACATCCTGTTTGCAGTGTGATTACAGGAGATGTTAACAGAGAAAGCAGTTTTACTTTCTACCAAGGTGTGTATTTGTTCAAGTACCTAAACTATATAGGGCAGGCAGCATGGATGACATCATACAAACTGAGACACAGATGACACTATGGGATAGGAGCATATTATGTCCCCATATGTTACAATGGATTGTGAATAAGGCATATAACTTGCTTTCCTTCTGGTAGTACCGCACCATACCGTGAGCATCACTGTTGGGTTATCCAGGGCCTTGCATCAGCTGCACTTTGCTGCACCTGGCTGATGGTCTATATCCCCTGTCCCCCAGACCCACTCCTGTCTTACCTGGACAATGCACCCTACTCAGCATCTCTACGAGCAGCGCCTTTCTTGGGCCCTGCATTATGTCCTTTCACTGCACTGGGACCTCAGTGTTGTGATGTAGTTGCTTGGCTGTACTCAGCAGTGGCTGTGATCAGACTGCACGTCCATGCTGTGCCTGTTACTGAACTGTTGGAGCAGATGTGTTCCACAGAGCACAGCCAGCAGCTCCTCGCTGGTCAGTGTACATCCCCTTTTTGTGCCTGTCAGGGCTCTTTTAGGGACTGTAACAGGCTCTGCGTGGCAGGTTGGTAGGCAGTCCCCCTATACTTCCCCCAGTATCTTACCACAGCTCTAGCTGATGCACAATATTGCAGTATTTTGAGATTGGTCCCTCATTTCAATTTTTTTTTTAACTTTCAAAAGCTCTTCTTGGACCTTGAACCATTCCTGTGCTGGAGCCGTGTGAATTAATTGCCAGGAACTCACAAGTTGCTGGTAGATGTGTGCAGAAACTTGCTAAATAGTTGGCCATTCCTGTAAATTGTTGGACTCTTCATAAATTTCATTCTGGGCTTTTTGTTAAAAGCCCTCTCCCAAACTGGACACAAGACAATGGACACCAGCAGGCACAGCTCCCAGTGACTAGAATATTGTCACATATCCAAAAGCCTGGTGGGAGGAGCAGACATTAGGACTGAATTCATCCTGGCAGGGAGATTTGGCTGAGAGGGGAGGAAAAGAAGGTCAGAGCAGCTCCAAGGAAACAGCTTTGGTTTAAAGTGTTTCATTAGAGTTTTCACACTGGAAATATAAAGTATGGGAATACAATTGCTTGGCAGAACCACATTTAGTAACAGTCCTGTATATATTCAGTACTCTATACAGAAGGAGACATAATATATCCCTGGCATCTCAGAAAAATTACAGGTCCATATTGTAAATGTGACTTTTTTCCAAAACAGTTTACATAATCTGGATTTTTTCTATCAGTATTGATAAAAGATGTTATTTTTCCAATAGACCATTGCTCCCTGCTGTAGCCATGCAGCCTTTGTAGGGCAAACTAGCTTTATCTAAGCGGTGTATCAGTGTCAGCCCAGCTGGGAACATTACTGGGATGCTCACCTCACATTTTCCCTTCTCCTCTGTGTCTGATTTTTTCCTGTTGTAACTCAGTAAGATAATCATGGTCACCCTTTTCCAAAGGGTTAGTCTTCCCCCCTGTTGATTTGAGAAGCTGCTTTTTTGAAGATAGTTCTTACCTGTCACTTGAGCTTTGTCACCTCAGAATGTTTTACCTCCTTATTCAGGCAGGGTTGGGAATTTGGACTGGCACACGTACCTGTGAGGTTTAGCCGATGCAGGACTATGGCAACTGTCACCAGTGAGTAGGTAGGAAATGAGATTTTAGTATGTTTTATCTGATTTCTTCTTTTGGAACATAGCTTGACCAAAGAACAGAGAAGTTGAAATGTCACAGAGTAGTATGTAGTGTGCATGGATTTTTTTTTTTTATGGGAAGCTAGGATTAGTTTACATTTGTGTTTTTCTGTTTTAAGTTATATGTGAAAAAATGGGGGGGGGGGGGCTTTGTCATTACATACCAGTGGCAGTTTTAAATTTACTCTGGCTTAGAAAGAAGTGTTTCCCAACAGACTGGCAAGACAAAAGCACACATACAGCACCCTGCAAAGGTCATTCCTGACCAGGCCCTGAAACAGCTGAAGTACAGATTGTCAATCTTTCACACTGCCAACCCCATGGCACGTTTGTACCCAGGTTCTTTTGTCAGCACTTCAAGTAATTTTTATGTTCTACAGAGTGTGCTGGGCAGCTTGTTGTCAGGGCCCTGGGTGTACCAGCTGACTCTGCAACCTCTTCCCCCTGTCCTGCAGGTTTGGCTGCCTGTGTTCAAGGTCTGCCCTGATATGGTGGAGTGTAACCTGGGATCAGAGTGCTGTGTGCTGAAGAGCTGAGAAGCCTGCTGAGGTCTCCCTGCTTCCCTTGAGAGTCACGGCACAGAGCTGCCCTTGTCCTCGGTCCTCATCTGGGGTGGGTGTCTGCCCGCCTGTGGACCCTGCTGATCCTAACCCTGACTTGCTGACTTGACTTTCTGGCTTGGCCTCAGACCTGACTTATCTCTATGGGCTTGTCTGATGGTTATTGGGCTCCTGCCTAAATGTGGTTACTCTGACCAGACCTGCCCCGCTCTCCTTGCGTGGCCGCTGTGGCACTGTGCCCCTGTACACTGAGGCCCTGTCCCTGCCAGCCGGGCTGGCCTTTGCTCTGTGGTCCCTGAGCTCCTCTGCGGCCGCCACGCTGCCCCGCTCCCGGTAGTTGGCACCTCCCTCTGTCTGAGAACTCGGAGAGGGAGTGGGCAGTGGTACGAGAGACATTGTGGCATCATGCTGATTTATTGCTATGAACAAATAGGTAAAATGTGGCATTAGCTTTCCCTCTCTTCATTTCCAAGTTCCTGAAAAGACAAACCGAAAATCGGGTCTACTGGCAAGAGCTCGAACCGCCAAGAAAGCAGCCGGCAGGAGGAGCTCTCTAGACATTTCGCTGGATCATTTTCGGACAGTCATAGCTGCATGTTTCAAGGGCATCACTTTAGATCTGCTTTCTCGGGAATTCCTTGCAGACAAACCAGCAGCAGCAGAAGACAGAGGCAACTTCGTGGTATTGCAACTGTGCAGCTCCAGTGATTTTTTTTTTTTTTTTTTAGATTCCTCAGGTTCCTTCTCCCACCATGATGCTTTTCTCTGTCATTGAAATTTCCCTGTCATTCAGAAATTTGTGTTCATGAAGATGTTGGGGATTCTTTTTTAGACTCTGGAAGGGGCCAAGTGTTTTATCTTCAGAGAGAGCCAGTGTAAGATTTTATGGATAGCATCCTAGTCAGAGAGTAAAGAATTCCAAAGCTGTGCTTACCTTTGCATAGAAAGATATCCTGGATTCCTCATGACCTCCAACGGGACATGTAAGCAAAAAGCTCTGAAATGTATCAGTACCACTCTGAATACTGGCCTGACAGTTATTCATATAGTTCTGCCTCCTTCTATACAGTTCATCTTTTTCTTCTGGAAAAAAGACAGTAGTCACTCTTTTGCACAGCACTGTGTTTTCATTATTAGGTGTACAGTATCACTGCTTCTTAGGCCAGACCTGCACTCCTAAATTGTGTGGGCCCTGTGGCCGTGCATCTGCACTGCCTTTAAAAAAGAATTAAGATTATTTTTTTAATTGGTGAATTCTTTACTTTTTGTAAGTCTGGCCGTCATTTAGTTATCTAAATGGGAACTAGGTGCTTTCTGGTCTTGAATGTTGCTGTAATAATTATTTTGATTCTGAATGTGCCAGAAACTATTCTAATGCATATCACTGTAAATTAAGTCAATAGAGATTCCTCAAATTTATCCTGGTGTTCAAGAGAATGGAATTCATGCACTTCAATTTACAGCTTATTAAGTGATCAGAATTAATGAACTCGCAACAACCTTTTCTGTTCTTGTTTACACATTTTCTTCCTATTCACTCATAATGTACATGATTTAGAAAAAGCAGGGCGTTGAAAAGGCAGTATGTGGGTCAGATATGTCCCATGGAGCACATCATTGTGCTTCAGGCTTTAATCATATTTACAAAGCTGACATGTAGAAATGGCACCTTCTGACTCAGCTGATGCATGGAAACCCAGCATGGAAACCCAGTTTCAGAACTTTCTCTGCATTCTGAAAGCTAGAAAAGTGTTTGTACTGAGGAGAAGGAGGATGTTCTTCAGAGTCACTGAAGTCTAATAGATGCAGAATGGTACCTTTTTTTTCTTTGAAAGTCACTTTTCAGCGTAGTACCATATTTCAGTCTGGAGGTGGGGAATAACTTAAACCACTGGATTCACCTTTCCTTTTATTCTGAGATTTGGAAGGCACTTGGGATGTCACTAAGAAAACCTCACATGAACCTTTTTTTTCCCAAGATCAACTGAAAGTTATCCCACCATGGTTCATTCAATTCAAGGCTGCAATGATGAAATGTTACATTTGATTTTTGTAATGTTTAAGGCTAAACTTGTGAGGCTGCATGCTCATCTGGACGTCGTTTCTAATTTCATGGAACAGGTTAACTTTTAAATTCTCCATCTGATCCATTGCAGAACT